AGATGAGGAGGAATGTATATTGACACTCGACAATCCGCACAAAATTACCAGATGTGGCACGTCCAAAACCATAAAAACCATTTCCCAAAACAAGAAATATAAACTTGTTTTTGACAAACGCGTCATCAATAACACCTTTCAATCATTCCCATATGGATATAAATGCATCTCTACTGTGAAAAACTGATTCATTTGCGTATGGTAAAAGACGAAAATGAGTGTAGACCTTGAAATTCATTGTTGTAAATTTTACAACCAAGACATACAAGTACAGCATACTTATTTCCTCGTTATCCCTGGAGATGACACCGTTTCCATTGAAGTACAATTAGATCAATCTGCAGAAACCATAAAACCTTGGACCAATCAACCATGGTATCAACATTGCGTCGTTGAAAAATATCACATGACAGAACCCAAGAACAACTTACCTGTGTCCAAGAAAAATCCATTCAAAAGGTTGTGGACAAAGTGGGTAAAAAAAGGTGAAAACATTCGTTATCCACCATTAATGCTCTTTAATCATGACGAGGAGTAACAGGCGTCATTACGTCTATTTTGGGCTATCTAGCCAGCATTTCCTATAATCCATGGGACAGAGATGTATACAGAGGCTTCGCAAAAATGTGTGATGGTGAATAAAAAAACTTGTATTTTCCCATTTGTGTTTACACTGGGTTGAAACATCACTGGAATCCTTTCTCTTTGTATGCACTGCTTCATGGGGTCATTCGATTATGACATCGAAATGTCCATCGTGCATTGCTGATGGTGGGACCTTTATGGATAATGGAATGACCATGTTCGGCAGATACCACCATGAATTGGTTGGCGCTCAAGACTATTTCGAATAGTTTTAATATGGTCTAGGCCACAAGGATCAATCTTCCTCTGTCATTGTTCATGATTTGGAATTTTTTTAATCCCATTCAAAAAAAAATTGGAATCAGAAAAAAACAAATTCTCTCACAACTCATTCGACAAACAATCCAATTCATTCAACAAAAACCTTTTTTAAAAACAACGGGGGAAAAAAACCGTGATTGTATTTCATCAAATCATTGAAAAAAGAATCATCAAATGAATAAAAAAACAACCTCAAATCAGATAAGACATTGCACAACCTTCCCGCCCGCAAGAACAGAAGCAACCACGTGCAAGAAAAAAGCTGAATCAACAACAAAACAATCTCATAAAAGGACTCATCAAAAACAATTTTCTTCAATCAAACAAAACTTCTTTTAATACAAAATAACATTTTTTTTACAATGAATTTTAAAATAATAAAACGAAATAAATAACAACGCCTCCATATGTAAAACAACGCTTTGAACGGGGCCTTGACATCAACTTCATACACTAAAAAAAACAAATTCGCACATTAAAAAAAATTTTTATTCACTAAAAGAAAAAAACAAAAAAAAAATTCGCACAATAAAAATTTTTTTGGTTATGTCATCTTATCATAAAAATAAAATTTTACCTTCTTATTTCTCTTTACTTTGAAAGAGCATGCAAGGTAATGATTCATCTTGCGGTATGACGACTGCATTTAACATGTCTTCATCGAACACCCATTTCACTCGCTAAAAAGCAAAATATTACACGTTTCATGATGTCATCTTATCGCAAACACACACGTGTAAAAATATAATCTCATCTTACCCTCACAATCCCAGCTCCCCAGCTCCCGGCCATTTACTCGACAGTCATGCCCAAATATTTCATTCTTACTTGCTTACTTTTTCCGTATATTTCATCTATTACTTTACTGGCCATGTGCCAATACTATGAAAAAATTTGTTTTTCTGAGGAGGAGACAGTGATGAATTGGCCGCGCTCACAACAAACTGATAGTGTGAAATCCTCGGAAAAAATCCCGCGGTTGTCGGTCAGTAAAATAAGGAGTAAATGGCAAATGGCCGACGCGCGCTTGCAAACCGCTTTTGTCCCATTAAACTAGTGCTCAGGCGCTCACGCGGTTTTTGTGACGTCACAGAATGGAATGCAAAAAATACGCGATTCTGATTGGTGCATTTGTACCACGTGATCAAAATACTCGATTCTGATTGGTTACACGCTATACCGCCACACTATTATTACTTCCAAACAATTTGCATATTTTTGACAGATCCAGAAAAAGCTGGCGTGTGAGCACTAAAATCGCGGTAATTTAAAACTGTTGAATAACAAACTACGATGGCTTCCAAATGTGTTCCAAAAATGTATAACTCAAAATTTTAATTGAAAAATGCGTTACGATGTGAATTAACGAGTTACCATTTTCAGAAACAATCAGAGTTTGTTTTCCAGCCTTCAAAACGAGTCAGAAATAAAATATAACAAGTATAATGTCAACAACATTTTAGTTACAATACGTACTTTTATAAATATTTACAAATGCAAAATATTTTAGTGGAAAACCTATTTACAAAACCTTCTGATTCACAAAATATTTTCAATGCAAAACTTATTTACAAAACCTTCTGATTCAAAAAAATGCCTCTAGTCAAAACCTATTTACAAAACCTTCTGATTCACAAAATATTTTCAATGCAAAACCTATTTACAAAACCTTCTGATTCAAAAAAATGCTTTAGTCAAAACCTATTTACAAAACCTTCTGATTCTCAGCTTACTTCACGCTAGTTCAGTTCGTTCATGATCAGTTAGAGCGCGCTGGTCCATTCAAACACAAGCACGTCCTGAGTAGTTGAGCAGCGGTTTTCTCGTTGTTCTCATACTTCTCCCAACTTGCGAATAGTTTTGCCTGAATGTTTCTTGTTGTACGTCGTTGAATTTGTTTCGGTTTGTTGTCAGAGACCAGCCTGATTGTAATAGCTGTGAGTTTTGCCTCACGATCAAGTAACTCAATCAAAAGGTACAAGGGCAAACTGCATTGTCCTCCAGCTCTGCGATTGAGGGCGTTATGCCAGCCTTCCAGGTCGTTATTTGTGCGGACGGGCTTCTTGTACACGCACCAGTTTCTTGGGGTGAATACTTCACTCTCAATCCACTGTCGTTGGATGTACTGGACAAGTCTCCCCAGCTGGTCGGTTTGGGCCTGCTCCTCAAGTAGGTCGAACATCAGTTGGATTTCCGGATACGGGAGGAACGGGTGGGCCATTAGCTTCCTGATGTACTTGTAAACGGAATTGTCGTCCATGTACGCCCTTTGGAGGCCAAGCTCTTGTACCTTAAAGTAAAAAATGGTAAAAAAGGTGTAAATAAAGTACAGTAAAAACCCGCGACCCACAGTTTAGATGATAATGGATTTTAAGTAAGTTCATTTTAAGTAAGTTCACTGTCAGATGATATAAGAAACTAAATAACATTGGTCACGGTTCAGTTTTGGTCAGTGTAATGCCTGAAAATTTAGTGTTGTAGTTAAATTTAGTTGTTTACTGGATGTAATTTGCCAAGAAAAAAAAAACACGCAATACACACCTTCCTTCGGACGGCCTGTGTCCAGTGAAAGACACATCCCTCAATTTTTACAGTGGGGAGCACTTCTCTGATGGCCGACCAAATTGCCTTCTCAAAGTCGACGGTGACCTGCCCGACTGAGAGCTGGGGCATTAGGTGGACTAGATTCTGGAGCACCTGGAAATAAAAGAACCCAGTAAGTCATTTTTCTTACAATCATTCTGAAATTCAGAAGAAATTCAATGTGTGTAGAAAGCGTAAAAAGAAAATGTTATTGATGTGTTCTTTTCCAATATGAATTTTCAAAGTGTTTAATTATCTTCTCTTATATACTTCAGATTTAATATATCAGAATAGAGAAAACAAGATCAAGGCGAAAAAGCGGCAGAAAGCGGCCACGCGAAAAAGAAAATGGGGACTGATCCTTCTCTATGGCAATGAATGTTAACATACCTTTTTATAGTCCTTTGCCTTCTTGCTGGACATCAGTACATAAGCCAGTGGTACTTGCTTGTCGTACTCCCCTGATCGGACAAACGCGTTTACTGTCAACAGCTGCTTGAACGGGTGGCGAACAAGCTTAAAGGTTCCATCAATGTACCATGTCTTAGCACGGGCGAGAATGGTGAGTTGCTCCTGTCTTGCAAATAGTAGGTGGCGCCTATCCTTTACTTCGATGTCAGCGCGGAGGAAGCCGTCAGGGATACAGTCATCAACCAACTTGAAGTCAAGATCTCTTGGGTGTTCTGGACGTAGTTTCTGGCGTAGACGGTTGGCTGTTCGCGCGATGTACTCAGCTTTGGGTAGGGCTGCGCACGGGGCTTCAGCGAGCTCTTCCAGGAGGACCTATCAATAACAATAACATTAACACTTAGTTGAGTTTATTTTTACTTTTAGGAGATGTCTTCTGTTAGGTGTAGGTCTAATTAGGCCAAGTAAAAAAAAAAGAAATGTTTCTCGTCCAGATTTTTATATAAAAAAGGGAGAGCGTAATGGTTTGAGTTTTTTTTTACCTTTAGGAGATGTCTTCTGTTAGGTGTAAGATAAGCAACAACAGTTGTATAAAAGAGAAATTAGATCCTCCATCAACTTATAATCCTGGCCCAGCTCTCTACTTTTTAGAGTATCAGAGTATATATAAGTAAATATAACTTACTGGTGTCACACATTCGATGGTTCCAGCGAAAACATCCATCGCACTGAACCGCTTGCTGCCGAGGCTGTACTAGTTTGTGAGAAACAATACAGTTTAAAATCTGCGCAGTAGCCATCCTGATATTAATAGTATTCCGAGATAAAGGTTTCCGAGATAATTCGTTATGAGTCGTAGAGTGTCGTAATCGTATGATTGAAATGAACATTCTCCGCATGCCAGTGTGTTTTATACACTTCGAAGGATCGAAATATCATACCAGTTAGTTTCGAGCGATTGGGTTGGTTTATTTAGAACAATAGGGTAAAATTAACAAGTTTTAACACAATGAGTTTACGCGTCTATTCATATGGTTATATACAAGCGTGTTGTTCTTGTAATACTTATATACTCTTGATGGAAGTTGTAATATGCGCTGGAGTTATAGAATTAGTAGTAGTAGTAGTCTACAATGTATTTATATAAATCTCTGTTCTAGAAGTCTCAAAGGTAATTATACAAATCTCTGTATCAACAAATAAACCTTATAGAAGAACTTAAGGAAAAGGTTGCACACACACGACTTAATTGCTCTAAGTTAAATTCAGCAACATACAGCGCCGGTGACGCGTGGCGTGGCGTGCATTTATGTGGGCCTACTGTGTTTTAAGTTGTGCGTACAAGAGAAGGAAACTAAGTCCGAACAAAATAACGGAAGGAAACTAAGTTCGAACGTCAAGTAAATAACACACAGAAGCAAGAAGAAGTAATGGTAAATTTTTATTTAGAGTAAACTAATACATTGGCGAAGTGACCAGCAGGACGTTGGCCAAGCGACTCATCGCGTTGGCCAAGCGACCAAAGACGTTGGCGAACGTGACGTTGGCGAAATCACTCATTGGCGAAATCACCAGATACCCTAATTTATTACATCAACACGAGGAACTAGAAACAAAGGCTGGGAACCTGGTAACTAGCATATCATAACAGTTACCACAACGGTCTATTTCTAGTGGATGCAGATGACTTCTTTGTAGCAGATGGTCTTTTCTTCACTGGGCTCTGCTGTGCCGTTTCTCTGCACCTTGACAAAGGATGGGTGTTGGTTGCACTGTCAAAGGGAGATGAAGTTGTTTGAGAGGAGCTTGGTGTGGACCTCATGGATGGCACATTCTCCTTGTTGTCCTGCACCTCAAACCTTCGCCTAGATCGTGGGCAACTTCTGGAAGCTCATGCCGTCTCCTGGTCTTCATCACTGCCCTCATCCCATAGGGACAAGCCTTTATTGACAGTACACTGCTTCTCCACCACTCTGTCTAGGATGTAATTTTTGATTTCCTTGGCAGAAAGATCATCTTTAAAGGTGTTGCCTGCTGTGGTCCGCTGGCATTTTCCTGCAAACTCCTTGGGATGATGCATGAGGGTACCTATGGCCATAATCTGGGCACAGATCATTAACATTGGGCCAGCAGTGTTGAAAGTGTCTTGGATGTTCTGCTCCAGGTGTGGGTCTGCATGGATTGTTCTCAATGCATCTACTATGTCTTGTTTTGTGGTTGGCTCACTGGTCGATTTATCTATGTTATTCAGAGGGCACTGAGAATCATGGAGAGGTTTCAAACAGGATGCCAGATCTTAAATGAACTCGTGAGTGTACATGGTACTGCTGAATTGCTCTATAACAGGAAGGTTATCCTTTACCGTCTGAGCCATTTCTGACATAACAATGTTTGGCCTCCTCAGCCACTCGCACTTGAAGTCATTCAATCTGTTAAAAACGGCATAGTCAGAGAGGTTCTGAAGTGCAGGCCCATAGTTTAGCATAAAACCTCTCGGAAAGTGCCAGTTGTACTGGGAACTGTGTCTCGTTCAACTACAAAAATGTGCACCAAAACATTGTTGAGTTGTTCAACTACTTCCCTGCTATGCTTATGTACTTCACTGTTCAGCATCAACTAACATGTTATACAGACAAAAGCAACAATTAATGCAATACCCTCTATGGTGTACACAACTGTGTCATGTCAACAGGAAAACGTGACACAGATGAGTACCCAAAATGTAAGGCACAATGCAGTCAAATCAAGCAGTTGGATTTCAGTTGTCTACCTGTGTGCAGCATGAATTCACGCATTAGACAATTTGCCGCAATCATTTGAACATTTAAGCGGACCCTGTTGTGACCAAATCACGTCAAGAAATGCTAACCGACAATGAATACAACATCAATAGCTTAAGAGCCCTCGACAGTATAAATACTTCAAGAACATGAACAGCAAAACATAGATGAAGTATTTATCTTGAGTGGAATACCCCTGTGACAGTTCTAACATGGCAGAGGTAAAACAGTCACATATCTAAGACACCTTTCCCATTTAGGGCCCAAAACATGACTGCATAAAATTGACAATACTTAGATTCCCCACTCTAAGTGATACTGTAAACGTACTTGGCACCATTGCACTGGCAGTAATATGTGGTAGACAAGAAGAAACTCGTGTTAAAAACACATTGCATTGCACGATTACCTCAAAGGAATTTTCAATCATGAATAAAACAACCTAAGACAAGGGAATGATCCTTACCAATTAGAGAACAATAATTGCTGAGTTCCTAGTAGAACTAGAATCACTGAAGAATGATATCTGTGGAACAAAACATAAAAAGAGCATTAAAGCAATCAGGCTGTAAATAAATGGAAAAGAAACAAAAAACCAGAACAAACTGAAATTTACTTTTCCATGTAAAAAGAGAGCAGAGTTCTGAAAAGAACTGTTTTTCAACAAAATTTGACCAGTGTGTGAAAAAAGGCACCAAACAAACCTCCAACTGGACAGAAGTTCAACTGACAACAGCTACTTGCAACTGAGAAAGTCCACCAAAAATGCCACTATTTGTATCTGCGCCGCAGATTAAAATGCATATTAAATTACACGTGATTTCTGAGCTATTTTTTCAACTTGTTTCTTAAAGACAAATAATTGAGAAAACATGCTGTAGAATCTGTTTGAAAGCTTAAAAACTTACTAGACACTTTTATTTAATAAGATCTCGTGACTATGAAAAGAAAGGAAGAGAAAAGTTTTCATTCTGACATTGATTTTAATGATTGGATCGCTGTCTTTTTACCTTTCTCCCCTTCTTTGGATTCTGGTCAGCTTCTGGTCAGCTTCTGGTCAGAAACTAATCATATTTGTATGGCCACCGATTTTGCTTTCTGGTGGAGCAGCTCTATTAGTTTTTAGAACAGAAGATGCCTTCCCATTGCTCTTCTTTTAAGTGCGTGATGCCAACCTGGAAATGTAAAAATTACTGCAAAACATAAGAGACGAGAGAGAAATACATATGATGTTTCTGCATACTTTAGATGTATGAGTTACTGTTTAATTTACCATTCAATTTTCAAAATAAAACTACCTTCGCTGTTGTTGTTAGTCCTTGTAGGCTGGCTGTAAAAACGGCAGTCTTTGGGCATGAATGCAAGGGACTGGACCCAATGATTTTCACTTGTGGAGGGCTGGTGATGTAGTGTTTTCTTTCAACAACTCGAACATGACTGGAATTTCATGGCTCAGAAGGCAGGGCAACATCACCAACTTGCAGAGGTACTTGTCTCTCTGATAAAGGACTTGAAGCCCCAATTCTTGAATCTATATAGAAACAAACAGATATATAACATGTTATACATATCATAATCATAACATTGTGCATTAACTTTATGGAACAGCATACCTTTCAAAACCAACCTTTTGCCAAACTGCCTGGGTCCAGTGGAACATGCAGCTCAGAAGTTGTACTGTGGGCAGCACATACCTCTGAGGTACCCACATAGCTGCCTCAAAATTCAATGTAACTTGTTTCATTGCTAAAGGGGCCAGAAGGGCATTCAGGATTTAATTAAGTACTTAAAGAAAACCAAGAATGATATATTAGCTAATTTCTAACTTTTCTATTAATTTTGCTAATAACATTCATACCTTTTTATAGACCTCTTTTATGGAAAACCAGGCGTGGCAAAAGTGTTCAAAAGTAAAATATAGGTTGTATCATAAAATATGTGCTGTTCTTTTAATACATGGGTTAAAAATTGCATATATGGTTTATAGTGAGGTAAATATAGTTTTCTAATGAGGCTCCATATTTGTACCTTGAAATACAACCTGAAATATATAGGTTCTAATCATGGATTTGTCTGCTTTTCTGGAAAATCTTTGGAACAAGGCCAATGTGCACAATACAAAGATACTCTGTGTAGAGACAACACCGAGTTGAAATAAGTATCAACTATCATGGACGCTGCCTATATTGGTAATTTCTTTAATAGAATCCCTGGTATTACCTCGCAGGCCTGTTGGCACTTACATGACACTGACTTTGAAGTAATTGAGCATATACACAGAAGGCTCCGGGACAGTCTTTATTAACTGAACCATCTTATCAGTCAAGCATGCGGAGCATCGAGTGCCATCAATGTAGACAGACAAGATGATTTTTGTTGACTCGTGACGGTGGTGTGATCAGTCTATGAAGCATATTCAATTAACATTTCCGCAAATATTGGAACAATCACCAAGCTACTGTTGGTTGTCAGCTCAAAATGTTACACAGTCATGGAAGGCCAAGGTTTGGTATCACCGGAGCTAGATGGATGCACTTCAACAGAGGCACTACAGTCAGAGAGCAATAGCAAAAACAATGAGAGTCTCGTATCGTACTATTTTGAGGTGTCAGCATAAATTAGGAATGGCAGTAGGTGAGCAGTTTAGCTGAGTTTCAGATGTGGAATTAGACAAATTCATATCAAATATTTTTCAGATAATTCCCGATGCTGGTAAGGTTATGATTATGGGAGTGGGGGGGCTGCACATTCATAAAGATACATGATTCGTGAGTCAATCCAGTGCGTAGATCCAGTAAGTCGAACACTCCAAAAGAGCAGCTGCAGTTGTTAGATGTGTTTATAACATGCCTTGCCCAATTTCCTATGCTGGGTATTGTGTATCAGTATCGACCATGGTCACAGGGGAAGGAGTTCATTTATTTGCCTAAGTGTAACCTGTATTGTTTAGGTGGCTCCCTTGTGTATCAACAAAAGAATGTTGCTTGCTGACATGAGTCACAAAATAGAGCTGAATTTTCTTTTTTTTGTAATTTTGCATAGGTGAATCTAGGGTAGGGATCTGGGTCAGCATTGAGAATGATTATGTTTGAGAACAGGGCCTCCCCTTTTTTAGGGTCTGGATCAGTGGGACCTCTAATTAATTGAAGGTCTGGATCTACCAGTGTTTTCGTTCATGAAATTCACCCCTTGAGGGTATCAAGATAGATTTGATTACTTATTTATGATTTTTCAACCATTATGTAGAAACCATAGCTATGGCAACACAACATTCCCAAAAAATAGTTTGCAAATATTGACCTTTATTATCTAACATTTCCAGTTTCCTTTGGTGGAAATTTTAAAACACTGTTACCTTGCAGAAATTGCAAGGCAAATGTTTACATGGTAAGCAAATCAGAATGCAGGATTTACTTTAATTCTCCCACTGGCAGCTTCATCTACATAATAAGCATCCTTTACATGCATGACATGTAATGGGTAGTACATGGCATGAGAAACTGCAGTTGAAACCATTTGTCATAAAAGCTTAAGATCTTAGAAAATCATCGATCAACATTAAGCTCAATATGGGAAAAGACTCCCAAAACACTTAAGACAACTTTTTCTGGTTGCCAAAGTAACAGTATTATTGCTATTCTTTTCTCTTCAGGCACATTGATGGGAACCTCAAACTGATAAATTGGTCATTTGTTGTCCAATGAGGAATTGATGGTGGTGTACCTGAGCTGTGCAGATAAAAATAGAGCAGACACAGTGTTACGACTTTTCCAAGGAGAAGTAGAGGAATTTGGCTTGCCTTCAAGGGTCTGCTCAGACCATGGAGTTAAAAATATTCATGTGGCGAGATACATACTAAGGGCCTATAATTATGAAAATGGGAGGATGCTCACTGGAATATCTATACATAGTCAGACTCTAGTATTAAAAAAGGTATATTACTGGGGGTGGTGTGTGCTGAAACCATGATTGTGGTGACTTTTTATGTAACTTGTTTGAATTGTACCCAAAATGCCACCATTCAAAAATGATTCAGCAAGTACTAGATAACTTTAGTCTTTATTCAGGCATCCCACCAAAACACGACAAATTGCTTTCAAACAAGATAAAGGCTAGCTTTTAATACATAAAAACTTCTTGCCTGATAATAGGTACAAAATGCTGTTTTTTTTTTTTCTACATGGTTGCATTTTTTCAACAACCGTTTCATAAAGCAAAATATCTTGTATAGCAAAATATCAAAAACTGTAACTTAGTAATGATTATGTTAATGTTAATATTAAAATCTTCTAATTAAACTTTACCCTTGGTTATAAGCTTGGTGCTTACAGTTGATTGCAATGTTCATTGAGGTCATAAATGACTGATAGTCGTTATTTAAGAGAAGTTGGTTCACTGTTGAAAAATAGGACTTAGGGTCAGGAAGTGAAGAATTGCAAAAGCTGATCTTAATAAGTCCATGGATTGGGAGGTATGGACTGCCACAACTAAACTGTAAAAGGTCTTGTAACCTTGGTAGCTGTACAAAAAGCTCTGTGGCAGCTTCTGCTGGTCCATTATGTTTGCCTGCTGAAACAAATGACAGGATTCAACTCCATCTATGTTACAAGATAGCAACCCTAGCAGTGGGGAGAAGAGAATGGGCTTTTTACAACTTGAGTTGAGATGGTATTGTTTTCTGTTCATATATATTTTTGTTCTTTTGGTATTAGGGAGCTTGACAAATTGTTTTTAAGGGGTGGGGCACCCCTCTATCCAATCATAACTGCATCCCATTCCTAACTTTTATGGATCCTCCCCTGAAAAATGTATTAACGCTAATGATAAACAGGAATTCCGAAGAGAACGCTCTTAACAAACTCAGATGAATTAATGTGATGCAGAAAATCAATTTCAAACTAACTGTGTTGTTAGGTGGCATCACTAGTAGCTATACATCCGTAGTGTCTATCAAACAATCTCATGTGTGCAATTTTTTATTTCAAGTCAAGTTGTCATCATGTCCAAGGCCTGTTGCACATCATACAACCTCGTATTTAAACTAAAAATAGTTGCCAAAGCAGATGCTGTTGAAAATAACTCTGAAATGGCATCAGTGAGTTAATGGTCTGTCACTGCAGGAAAGATCAAGGGAACCTTTTTAATGGCAAGATTAAATTGTCAGTGAAATGGAAGACAATGGGATGCTTCATGCCAAAGTATCTGGAGCTTGATAAAAGAATACTGGAATGGTTAACAGAGCAGAGAAGCCAAGGTAAGTTTTTTGTCGAACATCGATTTTGTATTTTAAAACAACAGAAACATGATCACGAAGTGAATCAATCAACTGATTGCAAAATGAATGTGAGTTGAATATATGACTCTCCAAACTATTGTAGTATCATGTGACAACATTGTGTAAGGAAGATTCTCATCGGCCAATTTTCACAAGTGTCCAAACAAAATCAAGATGTGTTCAATTTTTATCCTTTTGATTGTTTGGTAACCTTCTCACTTCATTTTGTATTGGAATAGCTGTTAATGGATTGATGCTATGGTTAAAGGCAAAAGAATTCAGCGAGGATCCTGAGTTTAAAGTGCCCTTCCGCTGGTACCAGAAGTGAAAGTGCCGAGATTCTGTCAGCCTTTAGACCAAACCAACACTCGTTCAGCATCTTCTAGAAGATTTGGTGCAGCAAACAGTCAAGTTCCATTGATTTGTAATCACATCCCATCAGCGTCACAGTTATTCCCTATCAAGAATCCTCTATTCTCATAACCTTAATGTTTGACTCAGGAGTGATATTGAAAGGAGAAATAAGATGCTAGTCCCTCTCAGGGATTAAAGGGTTAAAGGAAGCAGGTTATTGCCAAAGTTATAACTCTTGCTTAAGCCAATTATTTGAATTATTTGAATATGTGAGTAACATTTGATGTTTTCACATATAACAGGATGATCAAGCTGAAGATGGCCTCAAAAAGAAGTGAACTCCTCTGTAACAATTAGGTGACTACTTTGAAAACTTGAGCATTTGTTAAATACACCTTAACTTGCAACTTTGATGATCACAGTTTGCTGAGGTAATTGAAAGGTCAGTCCCCGAGCAGGAACCTTCCACGTAACCTGTACAGTCATAAGTTATAAGATAACTTTAGAAAAATGCATTTTGTCTGTAGAACTATCGTAAGCACAGTACCACCTAGTGACAAAAGTTAACGATTTCCTGTTATCAGTATGAATGATGCATAGGATTTGATGGTTGTAATGCATATCTCTGAGCTTTCAAACGTTCAACTTTGTGTTAATTGTAACTGTTTACCATATCTATTTCTTTGTACCTTAAGACCTAAAAAGTTGAAGCAGGTGAGTAATTAACCTTACATCCTCTGTTTGGAATTGTGTGATTATATATGTTTGCTGTGAAAGTTTCCACATTGTAACATGTAATATTATTTGGATTATAATAATGATAATAATGATGACTTTACTGGATTACACAATTACTGGTAGAACTGGTAGTTCTCATTGTGGTCCTCAAAAACTTCAAATTCAAATAGCAAAAATACAAAGAAAAAATACAATTAAAAATTGAAAATTAATTTAAAATTTCTGCTTATAGGAAAATTATCAACTCTGGAGTTCCGTTCTATATATTTCTTGTACAGTTGATTTTTAAATTTACAAAGGGAAGTGAGACCCCTAGTAGTACTGTCTTGGTTGTTCCATAATCTAGTGCTACTTGCAAGAAACGAACATTTACTGGTCATGGTGCTAAAAAAAGGTGTGGATAAGTCCATATTAGCTGGTGCCCAGGTTGTGTAATGATGTCTATATTTAACATAACAGATACAATGATTAAAGTAATCAGAACATTTCCCATGGGTAATGTTATGCATAATACACAATTTCCTTTGCTCTATTATGTCACTAATGGGGCTCCAACCTAATCTCTTAAAAAGGCCAACTGCTCTTTCAGTGCCTGCATTTAAAATTACTCTGGCACACCTTTTTTGAATTCTGAAGAGCCTTTGTAAATTATCAATCCTAAGCTTTGATTTAGTGTATGGTGTTTCTTTCCAATGCTCATACTCAAACTAACCATTGACATAAGCAATTGGTTGCAAGATATGTGAGTTTATATTTCTCTCTCTCGTCTCTCTTTGTCTTTATTCCATCATAAGATAAAACTACATATCTTATGTTACAATGAATTGAAAAAACTACAGAAATCTACATACATATTATGAATTAAAAAGTATATCATCACAATAAATGGAGCTTAAATATCAACCTATTTACAAATATGTTCATAAAGCGCTGTGTATTAATTTTCGGGTGCGCGCAGCCTTTTTTCCTGAGATTGTGTAGATATGTCTTTTGGACAGGAATGATATCTTTCAGGGGGTGGCAATCCGTTGATTTTAGTTTCTTCAAAATGTTTCTGTCTTGTTTGTTTAAAAGGTTCTTGATAAAAACTGGAAATGAGATAAAACCGCGTTCATGACATCGGTCTAAAAATTTTTGTACAACCGTAAGATCGGACTCAGATGCCCCATAGACTGAAAGTGCATAGCTAAAATTAGCCAAAACAATCGATATAAAAAGATGATCAATCTCTGCCTGAGAGTAATGTTCCTTTCTCAATGTTCGTAGGACGTGTAAACACTTGTTTGCTTTGACAAGCTTAGTTCTTACATGCTCATCAAATTTTCCATCACTCTGTAAAGTTACTCCTAATAAAACGAAGCTATTACATTGGGGAATATTATTAATTGGAGAGTAGAGTACATTATGATTTTTCTTTCTAACAACCAGCTCTTTACATTTGCAAGGGTTGCAGACCATTCTATTGTCTTTACACCATGTTAAGAACTGTCCTACTAAGTCGGCAGACGGGTCACTATTCCTAGTGATAGGCGAAAGAATAGTGGAATCATCGGCATATTTAAAAAGCACAGGGCGACCATTAAAAAAAATCTCCAAATCGTTCAAAAATATATTAAAAAGATACGGTCCGCTTACACTACCTTGTGTGGTTCCTCTATTGACAAGTTTCCACTGTCCTAAAAAATTATAACTAACAACACGCTGTTGTCTTGTATAGAGGAAACTATGATACCAATTGATAATGTACGGATTTAGAGGTAGCTGTTTCAGTTTGGCAGACAAAATAGCATGGTTCACAAAATCGAAAGCCTTACTGAAGTCCATGGTAAAAATTCGCACTGCGCTATAGTCACTACTATCTAAATACTTGTATGACTGGTGCTGGATAGCGAGCAAGGCATTTGTGCAACTACCCGCCTGTCTATATGCAAATTGGGTGTGGCTCAGGTTGCTCTCAATGACTGACTGTGCTTGTGTACGATACACGACCTTCTCAAACAACCGGGCAATAACGGGAGTAACATTAATACCACGGTAGTCCGCGTCCACGCCCTTCCACCACTCACCGCTACCAATGGCAGCCAGTTTTCTTCTGTTCTCGGTTATCAGCTCAGAAATGCGCTTATTAAATAAAGACAGGCGTTCCTTATTCTTTAAAGATATATGGGACTTAGTCCTCAGCATACACTTGACTAATGGGGACATCCAAACTGGGTCACGCGATGACATGCGTACAGATTTTTGCGGCATAAACTTATTCATCACTGCACGAATCTTTACCTCAAGCACCTCGACCGCCTTGTTTATGTCCACCTCATTGAGGATGTCACTCCAGTCCAGCGCAGTGAGTGCCATATAAAATGACTGTTTCCGATGTTCCCTACAGTCCCGCACGAGAACTTTGCGGCGCATAGGTTTAAGCTTTAATCCCGCCGGTAAAACAAAGCAATTACTGGTTTGTATCTCTCAGAGGCTCCAAATAGGGTTAATATGAGTCTCTTGGTCATCCTCAATCATTTCTTTCACTGCTTTGGCGAATGCTGTTTCACCCACTTCTTCGCCCTGTGTTTTGTGTCGAAGTCTGGCACTCATACTTTTGCTGTCATTTGTATAAAATTTGTCTGGTTGAGAACTAAGGCCCGCCTTTGTTTGCACATCCGCAGTCATGCAAATTCTTCATCATGGAGGCCCTTTCCATCATCCAGTCTTGGAATTTAGAATTACTGTCTCCCCTACCTTCCCTTTCTGCCCAAGGCTGTTTCAATGTGAGAACAATTGTATCAAATTCATCTCGAGTAGTCGCATCTAGGAGACCTGGTTAGTAGGTTTGTCCTTCCTGGTTCCTAAATACTTCCAACAGGTATTGTCTGAAGTCTGTTACATGCAAATGGTTTAATTTTAACATCACCTTCGAAGTGACAGAGGCAGCAGAGATAAGTTGCCTTTGTAAAGCAGGTGGATTGTGCCTCGCAAAGGCTGTACTCGCCATCTGTTCCAAGCGCTACTAGATCTTCCAGTACCATTACAATGCTCTTCAATTTGTTGAAGCACTATAAGTAAGTTTGCTTAAATTTGTTTGGTGGATGAAAATAGGCCCTATGAAAACAGGACACTTTCTAGTCTTTACAGATTTTGAAAGGACGTCTCTATAAGAGGTCGGTGTTATGCTAAAATTTCCAAAATTAAATGTTGGATCAACTGACAAGTGGCTCAAGTCCAGAACTTGTGTGCAGAATTGCGGTAGGTCAGCAAGTTGATTATAGGTTGCCAACAAAAGAGAAGGTTCCAGTCATCTTTGCTGCAATCTTCCGTGTGCAATTGGTTCAATAAATCTCTAAATGTAGTTTGTTCTGGGGTGAAGCCTTTACTCTCTGATTCAGTGTTAGTTTAACAACAGTGTTAAACATGAAACAGGCTAAATGACCTTGTTCTTTTAGAGTGCTGGAGGGCTTAGAGTAATAGAGAGGCTTTTCTACTACTGGAGGTAAATGCATAGGATCACCAACTAATATAATTGACTTTCCACTAAAGAATTGATCGGTTAAATCAGTAGCTTGCCTGCACTTTTTGTCAACCCAGGCAATCATTTTTTGGCCAAACATTGAGTATTCATCAATTATAATGGAACTTGCTTCTTGTAGAGTATTATATAGTCTGAGGCTTTGCCCAGTTAAGTCTTTGTTGCCATTTGCATTGACAGGAAGTGTTAATGCTGAATAGATAGTACAACCATGTATGCTAAATGCAGCTTTGGCAGTTGTGGCAGTCACTACACATGATAGTTGAAGTAGGTTTTTAAGAACATTAATAAGGTAGCTTTTTCCTGTTCCACCACCACCAAAAATTATAAGCAATGGTGGATCCTTTTGATAATGCTGCTCTGAATGCCCCTTAATAATATCATAAGCACACTTCTGCATATCACCAAAAGTAGACATATCTATATTTTGTTCTGTCCTAGTTGTTTAAGTGAATGAATCTTTGTTAGTTTTAATCCATGAAGACATTTCTCTTATTTGATTTTTTTAATATTTAGGTGTGTCTGATTACCAGTTATAATGCGAGTTAACAATTTGCTGTGGTTGATCAGTTGTAACAAATGATCCACGAAGGAGATCTGATAAGAGCATCCATTCTTCATATGCAGGAAGTTCTTGTGTGGTTTCTTTAGCAATTGTGTCATCATCACTGTAATTTTGAACACTTCGTAACTTGTCATGCCAGTCAGGAACATTTTTCTTTTTAGCACAAGGAGTTTCCAGAAATTATTTTCATTTTGTGACATATATTTCATCATTACCTGGCTGATCACCCCAAGTGTTTTGTTGTGTTGTCTGCCAGGGTTTATATGTAAGCAGTTGATATTTACAGTAAGTGAAAAATTTGACCCTTTCTTATTCCAAGAATAAATCGGGAAAACTCTAGATTCAGTATTTTCTGGCTGAGGTGTTAGTTTGTTGTTAGCAGTTTTGTATTTGGGGGCAAAATTAAGAAAATTTAAAGTCATTATATCAGGAATACTTTCAACATACATAACACGCTTAGCACAAACATCTAGAAGTGAATTGTAAGTTCCGACATTTCCCCCTGGCAGAATTTGTTTTAATTTTGCAAGAACCATCCAAACTAATGGTAACTACATTAAATGATGAGCTGAGTAGTTTTTGTTTAGTTGCAAAGGAATCGTTTTAATATCTGCCATCAAGTGTTACATCAACTGGCTTGTTATTACAAACGTCCGTCCTTTTAGTTTAAACACTGAAACAAGGCTACTACTATGCTTATTGTTACAGTTTTAATGACAACAAGTGGTGCATAGTCTCTTGTGCAGAAAAGTCCTTTTGACCAAGTGACTTCATTATCACTTTCTTTTTAAGTTTTGTGGGTCTGCTGGAATTATTACAATTACGAACAAAGGAATTGAAGGCAGTTTTTAAAACAGAGGAGCATGGCTCTCCTTTTGAAGCATACTTTTTGAGGTATTCAACACATGCACGATAATCAATGACTACTTGAATGTCACAGTTAGCTCTCCATCCTTGCAGTTGAAGGTGCTGGTGATTATTTAGCCTGAGATCATTCCTCTTGGTTATCACCTTCACTTTGTATCGAGAAATTGTAGTTTAGAGTTAAGGTGGCTCGACTGGATTTTTCAAAAGTCATACTGTTCAAGTTTGAAAATTAACTACGACGCCACGAGCAACGTTATGGTAAAACAATTACCACAGCTGTATTACAAAAAGATGAAAGTTTGTTGTGATTGGTGTTATGTTGACATCGGAGTTTCCATAGCAACGTAATGACGTCATGACAGTTTTTTGCTTTCGTTCGTATTTCTCAGTACCATGAGGTTTTTTCGTAAATCGCTCACTGGAGCTTTTATCTCTTGTTATTGCCTAGATGTTGGCCAAGTTTGAACAAATTCAATGAGAGCATTTTTGAAAATTTTGAGGATGAAGTTTTGAGGGTTAAAAATACAGTAAAAACATTGTTGTCGAGATAATTTGGTGATATCTAAAGAAAACGATGCGCCTTGGGAATGCCGCTATACCACGTAGTTGCTTTATTCCACTTCAAATTGTATGTAAAAAGTTGGCGAGATTGCTCTTACCGATTGTGAGAAAAAAGGGTTTGATGCCTTTGCATTCAGATGCTCTTGTTGTCATTTTTGCGTATAATTTGGTCTATGCCAACAAATATTGTAATATTTTAAAAACTGCTCGATAGATTTTTTTTAAAAATCGTCAGTGCTAAGTTGTATTTTCATTGTATACGGCCTGCAGTTTTCAAGGTTATTGAAAATGTGGAAGTTAATAAAATTGGGCCTCAAAAGTACTAATTTGTTATCCCCCATATCGTGTTTACAAGTGAGCGACCTCATTATTCACAGGCATTGTTTTAAATTCTCATATCCGCGTGCACAACTTCAGCAAAAAATGAATTTGCATCAATTAGAAAGTTCGACTGCATTCGGAGATTTTTTCCGAAACATGTTAATATAAACTGAAATTTTAATGAGCTGATTTTTAAAGGCATTTGTCACGCAATTATGCTGTAATGCAGCAATGCCGAGGGTATCTCTGACGAGGAAACGGAAAACTGTTGCTCTGCAGAAAAACCAACTGACCGAGCACTCGCAAAGAAAGCTCCACGGAGCTCGTGAAAACAATTAACAGTTGTCTCGGAGCTAGAAAATCATTCACAGACGAGGACAGACGAGGAAAAAAAGCCATATATTTTGTTTATTTATTTTCTCACCGTGGCATAGTCGCGTTTCCTTTTATTTAAATTTGTATTACATGTCTTATCTGAAATGTTCATTTAATTACCAAGTATTATTGTTTAACAATTATAATATACAGAATCATATATGTATTTATATAAGCGATTATTCTTAAATAAATATTATAACTTTAACAAACGTGAATCGGGAAGATAAAAGTCAATAAACAATTTTCTGAACAAACTCTGATATTCTTTCTTTTTTTCTAATTTTTACATCGATCACCTGAAACTGCAAGGAGAGGCATTGCTGCCAACTAATGATAATAACATTCACCACTGAGATATTACATCTCTAAACAAAACTATAATTATCTAATGTCTCCTTAGAAAAAAAATACTAATAGCCAACATAATCTTAGCAAAATAAAAAATATACAACAAGGGGGTTTGGTTCGGCATTTGCGACAGTATTATCCTGTAAGTTGTCTGTAACAAACTTTGACGAGCTTTCTTTTTCTTGCTTTTAAATCATAATCACCAAGACATTCCCGCCGGTAAATGAAAACATCGATATCATTCATCAATGAAAACCTTAATCTAAGATTGCATTCGTACAAAATAGTTAACCACTGCTGTGAGTATGTTTAGGTTTTTCGTCACCCTTGGCTTACTCCGCTTTTCTTGAATTTGCTCAAAGGACTCTGGAAGAGCTAGCACCGCTAACAGAGCTTTCGTTCCACCTTTCTTGTAAACACCCTGCATTGTTTCGTAGTCAAGCCCGGCCTTTCCCATTTTCTCCTTCATCCCTTCGGAGACCGGGAGGCGATGCAGCGTGGACTTTCGGGATTTTGCCTCTTGTGCTGAGTTCATTTTTTTTACGAACAGTTCTGCAGGAACTGCGTGCGTCTGAATTCTTTCAACAGATAATTGCAGAGGGGACTGAAATAAAATACGCGACAAGGCGGTAGCATCTTCTTGTGCATCATGTGCATCAAACTTTTCTTTCAGTAAAACTTCGTAAACGTCGGACAAAGATTTGCTCTTGCAGGAATACAAAGGGCTACCTTTCTGCTTCATTTCTGTCGAAACAATCTTTAGAGAGTCCACAAGGACAACACCAGTAGCCAGGAACAATTCAAGGAGATTGTTCCTTCTCAGAGCATTGATCAGAACTGGGAAGTCAAACTTTTCACCATTGTGTGCAATAAGGACAACTTGGAAGGAACGGGACTGCTGTTTTAGGAAACTGCAAAAATCACTGAGACCCTGAGTTTGCGATACGGCCTCCAGTTCTTTCCCTCTTCTCAATAATGTTTTTCTGCCCTTACAAAACTCTACACTTATACCGTGGACTTGCGTCGCTGACTGGCCAATAATTCGATTTTCTGGAAAAAGGTTTACCGAAAATGATTTGGTTTCAGCATTTGGTGGAATGCATGAAATCTGCAGAATATCCGATTTCCGGTCTAGACCTGTTGTTTCTATGTCGAGGGCCAAATGAAGAAAACGTGAACGTTGTTGGATTACAGGTAACTCGGAGACTTCCTGGCTGTTCCCTTCGTTGGATTTTTGGGAGATCATCGGTATAATCACTAAACTCCTCCTTTGTCAGACATGCCTTTAGATCGTTCATGGTTGCATTCGTGATGGCGGCTTTCTCTTTGTCGCTCTGTTGCCAGCCGATCCCTGTCTCGTACGTTGCTGACTCGCGTTTCTCAGCAGAATTGGTCTTTTGATTCTTTTTCTTTCGAGAGTTTCTTCTCGCTTTTTTGAACTCTTTTGTTGACTTTCGCTCGCCATCCCTTTTCCTTTTCTTGTCAATTTTGTCGGTGTTCTGTTCTGTGATATGCGTCTGTGCCAGACCCATTTTTTCCGTGGCTAATGTCAGATATCTGTTCCCTTTGTTAAACTGAGCTATTCCTGCAGCGGTTCTAAAGTCGCTGCTTTGCGAGCCTCCATAATGTCTTATTTTCGGCGCTTTCGAGCCAATGGAACTGTTTACACTTTCATTTTCTGTGATGATGAGCCCGCTGGCCAGCTTTTTCACGGAGTCATGAGAAAGAAATGGTCGAATAGCTTCTTCCAAGGTTGCACGTAAATCTTCGCCCGTCAGGTCCTTGCCTCCTGGAAGACTTCCGTGCTTGTAGCCTTCAGGGTCTTTTTTGTATCCACACCAGGAATTGCTGCAGTTATCGTGTTTGCCAAACGCGTGTGGTACGATAGAGGTGAGCCCTTCGAGTAATGAGGATGGCTGGCCCTTGTTTTGGTTAACACAGTAGGTGAAGCTCTTTTGGATGTAGGATATCACGTTAGGAGTCAACCCTTTAATCTTTCCTTTAGCCATGTATAATCTCGTTCCCAGTGTACGACTTGCATGATTCACATCACTCCATTTATCAATGTCGTAGTTAACCAGCGTTTTGAGATGGTTTTCTGTGACGCTGTCGTCATCTCCCACATAAGTCGAGTAAATCACTCCACTTTTCGGGGCGCTTGAAAAAGCTCGACTGCTACGTTTGCCTCCATACTTTTCGAGGATCCTTCGTGGTTTTTTCGACAGTCGTGGCTTTCTGCTTTTTATTCTCTTTTCTCCGCTTCGTCACAAACCCTACACATTTTATTGCGAGTAGCATAACTAATGACTTTTCCGGTATGTAACCCCACTGCTGTGCCCCTCCTGACGACGAGTCGTGACAACGTCCTCGCTTTCTCCAGCCCATATCGTACGACACTCCGAGTTTTACTACTTCCTCATTTCCAGTCGTGGACAACCGCTTTTCTTCCTCATTAAACTGATTACAAGAATCTTTAGCCACTTCTTCTACTGCTTTTCCACTTTCTCTTTCCCGCTTTTTGAAATTGCTTGAGGAAATTGATGGTACACCAAGTGTTGTAAGAAATCCAGAGGTATGCGTATGTCCCAATCCACAATGCAGTGCACCAAGCCCAGCACGGGAATTAGCGTCGAAGGTGGGAGGGCCTCTTTTTCCAGTACGATGATGCTCGGCCGGGCGTACGATGTTAATAAACTCACATTGTGTGCATTTAACTTTTAGTACTGGACACACTCCTTCCGGGCGAACATTAAAACTATTACGTAAATCTAGGGGTCCTTGTTTACAATTCACACACTCGCTCAAAGCGGTTGTTAGCATTTCCAAATTAACCACATAACACTGATCCATGTTTACAGCTTTTTGTGTACGGCAGACTTGATCTCAAGGTGGGTCCCTCCGGAACATTGTCGGCTGTATTGCCTAAACTTATTTCATTTCTAACTTTATCACTCCATCGCTGCTCTCTCATTGCCTTGCATTGTTCTTTCCTAACCGTTTTGGATCTGTAATTAGCTGGACGCCCTGGTTGAGACTGTAGCTGCTCCTCAGCATCCTGTAAACAAAATTTACTAGTTATATAACAAATCACTGACAAATGGAGACCCTCTTTGAAATAATGTAGAAAATCGTTATGAAAACATCCATACCTGTGATTCACTTCGTCTAGCCTTCTTTCCTACGGCCACGTTGTTCTGCAGAACAGCAGTTTTCCTTTTTCTAGTCAGAGATTCTCTCGGCATTGCTGCATTACCGAATAATTGCGTGACTAATGCTAAAATTTCAGTTCATATTAGCATGCTTCGGAAAAATATCCGAAAGTAGTCGAGCTTTCTCTTTAATGCAAATGCATTTTTTCGCTAAAGTTGTGCACATGGATATGAGAATTTAAAACAATGTCTCTGAATAATGAGGTCGCTCACTTGTAAACACGATATGGGGAGTAACAAATTAGTACGTTTGAGGCCCAATTTTATTGACTTCCACATTTTCAATAACCTTGAAAACTGCAGGCCGTATACAATGAAAATACAACTTAGCACTGACGATTTTTAAAAAATCTATCGAGCAGTTTTTAAAATATTACAATATTTGTTGGCATAGACCAAATTATACGCAAAATGACAACAAGAGCATCTGAATGCAAAGGCATCAAACCCTTTTTTTCTCACAATCGGTAAGAGCAATCTCGCCAACTTTTTACATACAATTTGAAGTGGAATAAAGCAACTACGTGGTATAGCGGCATTCCCAAGGCGCATCGTTTTCTTTAGATATCACCAAATTATCTCGACAACAATGTTTTTACTGTATTTTTAACCCTCAAAACTTCATCCTCAAAATTTTCAAAAATGCTCTCATTGAATTTGTTCAAACTTGGCCAACATCTAGGCAATAACAAGAGATAAAAGCTCCAGTGAGCGATTTACGAAAAAACCTCATGGTACTGAGAAATACGAACGAAAGCAAAAAACTGTCATGACGTCATTACGTTGCTATGGAAACTCCGATGTCAACATAACACCAATCACAACAAACTTTCATCTTTTTGTAATACAGCTGTGGTAATTGTTTTACCATAACGTTGCTCGTGGCGTCGTAGTTAATTTTCAAACTTGAGCAGTATGACTTTTGAAAAATCCAGTCGAGCCACCTTAATGGGTTCAAATTTTAGCTTTGCACTCATGGAAGGTTGAAATGGAAAATGAAATCCACATGTAAAGTCTGATTCATTTTCCTGTTTTCTAAGATAGTAAGTTAAACTACAGGATGTGTGTCATTGTACAGTGTTCAGTAAATCTATATAATCAGTATCAGAGTTTTGAATGTCCTTGTGATGCTGTTGACAAGGATGAACTATTGGTTTTATCCAAGTTCCATTATCAGGTGGATCTGGGTTGTATGTGGATAGCAACCAATCCAAATACTTGCAAATATCATACAAAGCCTTTCTACCATCCTAGATTTGTTCATTGAGTTAAGCTAAATTTGCTGGCTCTGCGCTGTCAGAGATTTCTCAGCTTAATAGCCTTTCAGTGCTCTTTCTGACAGTTTGCTTAATTCTGGATTATTTTTCAGCTTGGCAATGCCAGGGCAATGAATACTTCTCCCAGCTTGGTTTCAACAAATCTATACCAGTGCCACTTGGCATCTAATCAGTTATATAACCAGTACTTAATAAAGTTCTTTAAGTGTTGGGTAAAGAACTAATCAGTGATATGAGTATTGTTTATAATATTCTGACATCTGTTTTCTGGAGTATTGCTGCCATCACTTTTCAAGAGGGCATGTAGTTCAGACCAGTGCATGTCAGCTGATGAAAAGGTAAAAAAGAATGTTGAGGGTCATACACTGCTTATAGTTGCCTTTGAATTTTCTCTAGCTTTGAACCAGTAAGTATTTGATCCGTCTATGTTGGCAAGGCAGCATGACATTTTGGACAGAGATACATTTGCACTGTTATTGGCTACCATCTTCTGAAGCTTTTCTATTGTAAGATGTGCTTCTGGATTTTGTTAAAGGAATATTCCTGTTTGCTTTATAATATGTTTTCTTTCAATGAGGTTAAAAGCCCAATAAGCAAATTGGGGGTGGGAGCGAAAGCGATAAAAGCATCTGTCATCTCTCTTTTCAGCATATTTTAAGTTCAATTCCTTCTGTAAGCTGCACATCTCAGTAAAGAGCTGGGTTTGTAGGATCACCTTTACCATCAGGAAATGAAGCTAAGAAAGCCAATGTTGCTAGAATGGAGTTGTATACTCATTTATTGGATCATTATGTACTGTTGGCCAGGACGTGGCTTGGTTATAATGTGTGGAAGACAATTGCTGCTGAATAGCTTGAATTTCTTGTTGTTTACAATAGGGACAAGGAAGAAAGCTATTCATTTTTGTTTGTATATTATAAAAAGTGTCTCCTGCATTTTGAGGGCCAAAATTAGGCTGAACAGTTTTGTTATGAACATCTTCTGTCTCAACTGAGATAATATCATGTGGAACACCATGCTCAGGCAAACAATTCAAAGAATGGTGATTGGATTTCACATCTTTATAAAGTGGATTGTTGTTAATGAGCCACAGCAATGCATCAGCAACCTTTCGTCTTCTAACTGATACATTTTTATGAGTAAATGCTTAGCATTTATGAGTCTAGGAGATGTGTGGGTGAAAAAAAGGGCTTGGTCGATTCTGTGAACTTTTTTTCTTTGATGAGCTGCTGACCAGTGGAAAAATCAAAGCGCGCACTATCGCGGGCTCAAATTAGTGTACATAGTTTGAGTGTTGAAGTCTTGCTGAAGTCGTGTTTGAACTGGAAGTGAGTTGACTTCCTTGAGAAATGGCTTTTTTTCTTTGGCTTTAGCTTTTATTCTTGTTTCTTCTTGGATGTATCGACGCTCGGCAGTTTTATATTCATAATGTGTTCTGTTGGCATAAGTGAAACACCGGGCCCACTGAATATAGCAAGGTGCATTCCACTCAAAGGTCACTGCGAAGGTTTGCTAAATGTACGCGACGAGTTTTTAAGGATTATAGGAGAGCTCACGGAGCGTAGCCCCATAACTATACGAAATAGTAGTAACCCATGAAGCCCAAAAAAATTTGGTTGTACGACCGTACGATCGTACAAGGTGCTACTTTTAGCATGCGCGGCCAACTGTACCACGGGCACTATCTTAACCGTTACGTAATGGAAGGGCGAGGGAGAAGGTAATGCACAGGCGCGATTGCGTGCGTAACTTGGATACCCCATCAGTGTGCACCAAGAGACAACGCCAGATGACGATAAAGTGCGTATACTCGAACGTCGAGCTGCATTGTAGCGTACTGCGAGCACACGGTTAGGCATTGCACCAGGGCTTCACGTGAGCTAGTAACAGTGAAATTTGCCACCCGCGTTTTGAGCGGGGAATCGAACTGGTCAGGATGTAGTTGTACAGTAAGACAACTCGTAAGACAACAATACCAGCAAAGTTTAAGCTTTGTCAACCGGAGGAAATTGATATAATTCAAGTTTGTGGAGAGAGGGTTTAAATTGAAAATAGGCTGGATATAAAGAGACAGAGCGACCAAAGAAAGCAACAAGTAAATGGCGTAAAGCGAGTCCAGAAAATTGTGCAAGAAAGTTACAAAGGACGCCAAAATAGGCGGAATACGGCGAGAGGAACACAAAGGAGAACAATAAAGGGCATAAGTAAAAAGGCGAGTTTCTAGCGAAGAGCAACGCCAGAAGGAAATACAAAGTCGCTTCTGAAAACAGACTGAGAAGAGGTCATCAACGAAGAGAAGCGAACTGCAAAGGATCCTCGAAAGAAGAGAAGTTAAGTCGTGTCCTATCTGGGTTTTCTCTTACGCTAAGACCCAGAAAAAAATTCAAACTTTTTTTTTTTTAATTTTCATTTGATACTAGCTTCAGTTTTGAATTCAACTGATCACTTTTCGGTTAAACATTGACTCTGGCATTCATCACCTAAAAACTCTTACGCCGGTTCATCGCTCGAATAATATTGCATAATGTTCGTATTCTTCAAGTTATTTCTTGTCCTTTCGTTTGAAAGTTTAATACAGTCGTGGTTTTATGGGAAAAGATGTTATCTTACGTATTTTGTTTTGCCTAGAAAGTTTTCAAATGATGTCGAACGGCAAGCGCAAGTTTCTACTTTTTTTCTCTTCAGTTAATTATCGCAGGATTTACTCTGTTCATTTGAAAAATTTGTGCTTTGCCGAAGATGTGTTGTTTTACCCTGAGAACGAAGTAATGGCCTTTCCCAAAATTAAAATAAAATGGGATTGAGTAAGCGATGTTCATGTTTATATTAGGTCTAACGCGTTATTTGATTTTGACGATATTGTCATGTGAGAACCCGTCAAACATCTGAGAATCAAACTACGGACCACAAATGTGTGGTGCTAACAAACTCACGGGTAAAATGGGGATGGTTCTACAGTGGGATGAGTGAATTAAATTGTTTGGTTGTCACAGTTTTCAGCGCTATGTTTTCATGCTTTCTACTCGATTCGTTCGAACTTCAGGAAATGGTTTGTGTCACAAAACATGGAGCCACTTTCTCTTCACTCAACATCTCGAGGCATTATGATAAACATGCTTGCGATACGATATTTTTTTCCTTGTGCTGGAAACTGAAGAATTAATCTCTAAAATTGGTAGACTTCACATTTTGCAAGAAGCGTCCGAGCTGTGATCGTGCAATTAAATGGGGTTATGGCAATTTGACCTCACAAGCACGCTGGTAAGCACATGGTTCGCGTAAATAATTGCCCAGGTTGAAAACCTTGGTGAGATCTGGACAAGATCTTGGTGAAATCATGGCAAGATCTTTGATAAAATCTTGGCAAGACCTTTGGTAAGATCATGTAAGATCTTGGACAAGATCCTGCAAGAAGCTGCAGGATCTTGCTAAGATCTTGACAAGATCTTTCAATGATCTTGGAAAGATATTTTTAAGATCTTGCTAAGATCTTGCTAAGATCTTGACAAGGTCTTTTAATGATCTTGTCAAGATCTTGGTAATGATCTGATCAAAATTTTTGTAAAATCATGCAGGATCATGGTAAGATCTTGACAAGATCTTACAATGATATTGGCAAGATTTTTTACTATCTTGCATGGTAAGATCTTAGCAAGATCTTTCAGTGGTCTCAACTTGGCAAGATCTTTTCAGGATCTAGCTTGGAGAACCTGAAACAAAAGTTGCAGGTGCCTGGACGTTCTTACAGGAAAGTTTAATTTGGATGATCTTGCATGATATATATGATAGCCAACATCCAAGCTGGGGAGGTGACAGAAGTTTAATTGATATTTAATTATCAAGATGTACTATAGATTCTCACATCTTACGTCCAGAATTGAATGCACTTAATGGTCAATCTTAATTGCGTAAAAAAAATCCTGTATTCATGGTGGTTTAAGTGAGAGTTGCAAGATAAAGCAGTTAATGTCACACACAAGTTCACTTAGTTTCCTTAATACACTGTTATCTTTATTGATCAAACTCTCTAATATAACTCGATCAGTTCCAGTTGTGAAGCAGCTCTTGAACGGATTTAAAATGTTGATCACATTATTAAAATCTGAAAACTAACATACAATTTTAAAATGTCTTAAAATGCAATGGGCTGGTCATAATAAGCATTTTTCCACTATCAGCCAAATCCAAGAATGAAAACCTAAGCTATCCTTTGGGCAATATCTTGTTATATGTTGCATTTATAGTTTTGAAACCTTAACAAATGCCCTTAACCAAGTGGCTGCACTGCAAAACTGCTCTTCACTCTTTTTGTAGAGGAAAGTTTAAAATTGACAAATTCACTGAGAATTTAAGACAAGAAATGTGAAATGTTTTGTTTAAAGTAACATGTGGGCTTCAAATTTTAAAGGCCCTTTATTGTCGACTGTTGTCAGTGTTATTGGTGCATTTCAATGCTGATCCAGCTTCCTTTCTTGCCACTTCCCTGCACTTTTGATTGCATGCATCGATTATGGCCTGCCTGTACTTTTGTATTTTCTCAGCTGTGTATTGTGCATAGAGAACATCTAGGAAAATGAAACATAATCATCATCACCAACATATCCCAAAAACAAATTAAAGACATGACCAGTTAATTTACTCAAAATACCGATACCTAGTTCAATTATATGTAATTTTATTACACATAACAGTGGATGCACAGTTGACGTCATGATGGGAAAAATGCTAGAAAAAACAATGCCCAAAGCAAATCAACAGATTCCATTTGTCAGTGTGTGTGTGTACACTGATAACATGTGGCGGATGTCAAAACATGGTAAGATTGCATCCTTCATCATGCTACAAGTGCTTTCCCGTGACTCAAAGCATACATGTACTTCTTTGTTACCATGCTTTAACGTCTCCATGTGTTAATCCAGATTGTTGAACCAGATGGAGTCTACAAAAGAAGTGAACAAACATAGCTAACTAAATAGCAATTAAAAATTTTAACAGTGATTTGATACTGATGGTCATCGGAGGATGTAAGTTACAGAATCTGTTCAAACTAAATTTGTCGCTTCAAAGGTGCGTCCCTAAGCTATGTAGGGTAATCCTAGACAAAACTTGAGTTGCTGTTTTCAGACTTTTAATCTTATTTTAACAAGTGGTAACAGGCCCTATTAAGTATGTGTAGTGTCTGTGGAGCCACTTGATCATTAGGCTGGGGTCAAACGCCGCACTTCCCATGAGCCGAATCGAATGCTAATGAGGGAGAACAGAGGGTTTTGCTCATTTGAATTTGATTCAGCTCATGTGAAGTACGGCATTTGACCCGGGCCTAAGGGCCTTTAATATTGTCCATGAGAATTGCATATTCGCTGTAAACTTAAGCAAATAAAAAGCTGAACTAAGAAGGCAATATTAAGTGATATGTAGTGAACTAGTACACTGTTTGGGGAACATGTCCCAGCTGGCACGGTGCTGCTGGTCCTGAGTTCTTTTTTTACATGCTCCAGTGATGCTTTGATTTGTTGTACTTCCCGCTCCAGATTAAGTAGTCTTTTCTCCATTTGACCAGTAGTTATGGTGGCTGTAGGAGCAGGTGTGTTGGAGAGTGGCTGCAAGTATATGTAATAAACTCAACAATTAGTTTGAACTTAACCTCTTAGATGAACTACGCCGATTAAATTGCCAAATCAGTTCATTCTTATTTGAACCCTTTACTCATCCTTAAGCCTCTGGAAATTGCAGTCTTAGTTCACACTTCTCTTAAAAGTTTGGCTTTGGAGACTCTTGCTTATCAATCACCCTCAAAATGTAAATTGTTCGGCTTCCATACAAGAATTGAAGGGGTGGCCAGGTTTATGGATATGACCTGTGTCTATTTCCCAGAGCAGCTTTTCTTTGAATGTAACTGTT